TCTTCAATCTCTCTCTCCTTCAGTCTGCCTTTTACTGACTTTTTGAAGCTAAGGCTTTTTGTTCTGTGGCTGTGCAGCAGGTGTGGACAGGGTCTCAGGAACAGGAAAGGAAGAGGGCGTTACTGCCCAAAGTAACGTTTCCTGTTTTCTCTCCCTGTCTGGGCCTGAACCCAGGGCCTTTGTACTGAGCTACATTCCCGCCCTTTTTTATTCTGGGAGAGGGTCTGGCTGGACTTGAATTTAGGATCCTCCTGTGTCAGCCTAGGATTACAGGTGCTCACACTCAGTTTTAAAATGCTGGATTTAAGACAGCCAGCACTTCAGGTGTGGGCCTCAGACCTCTCGTTCCAGACAGAACTGTTGCTGCCAGTGGAAAGCCAGCCTGAACTGCATAGTGAGACCTGTAGTGAAACAATGAATGAAATCTGATACCAAGAAGAGAGAATGACAACCATTTGTATTCCCAGTGCAGGTCTGGTGCACACTCTGTCGAAGTGCTCAGTGGGCCTTGGCAGTGGGCCCTAAATGTCAGGCCAGGGTGTTGCACTGATGTCCCTCCTTGGAACGGGACCCAAGGATGGTGACCTCCCCCACCAGGACTCCAATGGTGACTCCAGGGCCACACTGAGTATCACAGGTGCCTATGCATCTCCGCTTTCTCACAGAGGGCTCCGAAGTGCTGGTCACAGACTTCAGCAACCTCTCAACCCTGCTGAGCTGCTCCCTACTCCTCTGCCACAACCATGGGAGACTGGAGCGAGGACACAAGACAGAAAAGACTGGAGTGATGGGCAGCACGAGCAGAGCCTGGGGCCGGTGCCTCCTCCCTTGGGCGGGCATGGTGTGTCTACCATGCTGTCCCGGTTGCTGCTCAACTTCAGGTACTGGCAGGTGAGTGAGGCGCCCCAGGAGAGCACCAGCAGGAGCACGGGCCCTGCAGGGCACCCTGGTGAGTCTGTCTTTGTGGGTGACTTTCTGGCTAGTTTCAAATAAGGACTTTTTCCTCTTTATGCAGCTCATCAGAGAAATAATGAGAGAGGGGGGTCTGTGAAGGGCTTCAAGGCAAGTGCTGAGTGCTGCCTCCCCTCTGTCTGGAGACTGGAGGGAACTGGTCCTGATGTGCACTCTTGGTAGTAGTTCATCCATGAGGGGCTCCGGGCAGAGGGAGGGGTGCAGCTGGAGCCTGGGCCTGACACTGAGCTCCACCCCCATCCCTTTATGTTTTATTGAGACTTTTGGGGCCTCATTTAAGTGGCTGAATTGCTCAGCTGGGCTGAAACTGGTGATTCTCCTGACTCTGCCCCCCAGAGTGTTGGGGTTACAGGGTACAGCGTGCACCACCATGTCCAGCTTGGTACCTGTTATTTTAATTCTTTGTTCCCTCCTAAAATTGTTTCCCCTTTAAAAAAAATTTTCCCCAGTGCTGGAGAGCACATCCAGGACCTCAGACATGCTAGGCAGATGCCTCCCATTCATTCTTACAAAGATGCATTGGTTTTGATCTGTCCTTTTCTTTGTTTTATTAAGAATGGGGTCTTTATTGAAAATGGGTTCAGGCTGGCCTCAAGCCGGCAGTTCTCCTCAGTTTGCTGAGAGCTGGGATTACAAGGTGTGACCATCATGCCTGGCTTTTTGTTTTTGGTACTGGGGATTGAACTCATGACCTTGCACTTGCCAGCAGGCACTTGTGCCGCTGAGCTAAACCCCCAGCCCTTTGGCTTGTTTTTGTCATTCTTTATCCGAAAAGATTTCTTAATAAAATAGTGGATTTGAGGGTTTATGACATTTCTTGGAGATGTAACATCCCAGTTAATCTATCTCATTTCTTTCAGGATAAACCAAGAAGCATGCATTTCAAGTGCCCCTGCAGTTTTTGCATGTCCTACCAATGGGATCCTTCTGACAACTCTAGACTAAGGGGGTGAGTAGAACACAGGGTTAGTGTAGGCATGAGTCAGACAATCTGTATAGTGTGAAGGATGTTGAAGGACGTCGATACACTTTGGCATTTTGATTTGACCCAGAGAGGCTCTAGTAGGTCTACTCTGCTTTAAAAGGTTAAACTCTAAGATGAACCCCAAGCATAAATAAGTAGATTTTCGGGTTCTCATGAATCTGAGCTGCAATAAAAGGAAATTTTGATATAATGTTTTGTTGTCAGATGATCTTATTAAAATTGACTGTTTAAAACAAATTTGCTGGTACATTTTAGATAAACATAACATTCATCAAAAAAAACATAACATTCATCATAGGGAGTTTGTACTTACAGGTGATATATATCTTCATTTTAGATAAACATAATGAATATGTTCATCATAGGGAATTTACACCTGTACATGATATATCTTAATTTTCTTCCATTCCCCTATCCTCCCTTCAGCCCCTCTTTCTTTCCTTATGTACAAAAAGAAACAACCTTATTTTGAGACAGTCTCACTATGTAGCCCAGGCTGACCTTGAACTTTGCCAGTCCTCCTGCCTCAGCCTCCTGAGAGCTGGAATTACAGGCATGCATCACCATGCCCAGCTTTAAACCATTTTGATCTTGATTCAATGAACAGTTTGTCTTCACCAAGCCCTAGAGTATAATTCTGACAGCTTGCCAGTGTCTGGGTGGTGAGAAATCTAGGCCCAGACACTGGAATAGCTGGTTTCCTGCACATGTCAGATGCAAGAGCGAGGAGTCCAGTGGAGTGAGGTGATGGAGCTGTTGAGGTTCTCCTGTCTCTGCATCTGGTGATGAGCTGCTGTCTTGATCCAGCTAAGTCTGGAGCTGTCCCCCTGGGAGTAGCTGCAGGTGCTGGGGGTGGAGGGCTCATCCCACAAAGCACTAGCGTGGCTGATGCTTCAGACCAAGCATCTGTGATGCAGTGCATGTTTGGAGTTTACCAGAGCCATTCAAGACACAGACTTGGAAACTCAGACACATTCAGAGGAACAGCCCGGCGAGTGCAGAGGCAAGGCATGGGAGAAACATGTCACCTGTGCCTCAGTCACCTCCAGAAACCCTATGTGCTTAGCTCTGTGGTGGTTTGGGTTTTGTTGTTTTTTTTTTTTGTTTTTTGACAGAGTCTTACGCTGTACTGCAGCCTAGCTTCAACTCCGGACTTTCCTGCCTCAGCCTCCTAAATACTGGGATTATAGGTCTGTGTCACTCATGACACCTGGCTGTATTTAGCTGTTTGGATGTCTTCAGCCCTTAGTCCTCAGTGGAGTTTGAGGAAGGAGAATACTTAATTTGAGGCCAAACTGGGCAGTTTAGGGATCTCTTGTCTCAAATAGGGCTAGGACTGCAGCACAGTAGTAAGACCCTTGTACAGCCTGGTCTGGGCCCCTGGCCCTGCAAATGTGTGGGTTGTAGCTCAGGGGTAGAGCACCATCAGGCTTAGCCCCAGTACTGGGGGAAAATGCTTAGTCTTTTAGGGTTTTATACCCCCAGTATAATTGCATAAGGGACAACTGATGGGACAAGAGATAACCTGTTCAGCTTATCAGCCTTTTGGGGACAGGATGAAGTGAAAAATGGCAGAAATCAACTAAATTTATTCTGAAATGGTCTTGTCACATGGCCTCGAATTCTTTGTCCTCCGTTTCAGCCATGATATGCAGCCTTAGTTCAGCATAAATACCCCAGGCTTCACTACAGCAAATGGTTAGAATTCTATGTTGTTATTGGTTGTTAGTCTCTTACCATGTTTAGTCTTTAATTTTTTTCTCATTTTCTTTGTGTGTTATCAGGGGTTGAACTCAGCCTTCTCACTGAGGTATACCCCCTGCTGTGTGTGTGCACATGCATGCATGCAAGTGTGTGTGTTTGTGTTTGTGTAATGGAGTAAGTTTTCTGGTTCAGCCTTGAGCTTGTGATCTTCCTGCCTCAGCCTCTCAGAGCTCTTGTGCTACAGGTGTGCACCACCATGCCCAGCTTCTTTTTGTTTTTGTGTGTGGGGGGGTCCCTGGCCTGGAACCTAGGGCCTGGCATGTGGTAGGCAATGGCTCTCCCTCTGAGCTACATGCCCACCCTTGGGTCTAATTTATAAATCTGTGTGTGTAGGGTTCAGTACTGCCAAAGGTGCAGGCATTTACTGGGGCTAGGTTCAGACCTCCTGCAGGTAAGGCAGGGGCCATGGTATGTCAGGAAGCTGAGAGTAAGACTGAAGGATCCAGGGTGTCCTCCCGCCATGTCTGACTTAGAATTTCTGCCAGTGGCATGCCTTTGCAGACAGTCTTTGTAGGATACAAGAAACAGGACATCTGTCCTCTGCCCAGCAGCTATCATTTGTTAGAGTGATAAACTGGTGGTTAGGGTGATAAACTGAGTGCTTAGAGGGAAAGCAGCCCGAGGCCTGGGGCAGAGCAATAAACTTGGGCAGAGCTGATGAAACAGAAACTACTCCCCTTGGGCTTTCTGAAGGTGGTGGGGCAGAGGTTATCTCAAGTATGAGGTCTTTCAGTGGCGAAACACAAGGAAATGTTATCTGTTAACATTGAACCAGGTAGAGCTGGATGTGGTGGCTCATGCCTGTAATCCCAGCACTCAGGAGGCTGAGGTGGGAGGATCATTGCGAGTTTGAGACCAGCCTGGGCTACAAAGTGAGCTCAAGGCCAGCCTGAACTGCATAGCGAGACCCTGTCTCAAAAAAGACAAAAAACCATTCAGCCAGGTGACCTGGCTCACACCTGTGATCCCAGCATTCTAGGAGGCTGAGGCAGAAAGTTGGAAAGTTTGAGCTCCACCTGGGCAGTGAAGCACCTTATGGAGGCCCTGCCTCAGTAGAAAAAGGGCTGGGGATGGAGCTCAATGTGAAGGCCTCAGTTCAGTCCCCAGTACTGCTGTACACACACACACACACACACACACACACACACACACACACACACACACAGAGCACCATTCATGCATCCCACACTTGCTCTGTAGAGGCTGCGCTGCCAAGAATGGCTCAGCCCGTTGCAGTCCACTACTGTGAGTACAAGCAGGCAGTCATCAGTTCCTAGTGACAAAGCCATCTTTATTAATTTCCCTTCATGAATCTGCACATCACTGACTAGTGAAAAAGCAGCCAGTTTATTTTTATTACAATGTTACTAAATTTACTAAGTCAGTAAGAGTTAAAACCCAAGAACATGGATGAATGAACAGAATGCCTTCTATGTATCCCTTAGCGTCCTAGAGAGACTTTTCTCCTTGCATGGTAATAGTTTTCCTTGGGTATCGGTCTAAGTTTTGCTCAGGAATTAATGTGATTCTCAAAACACTAAAGGTAGATCACTTTTGGTATCTTCATTTTATAGAAAATAAAGCACAGAGATAATTAACCTGCTCCTGGTTACGTAAGTGACTGATCTGAGATGAAAGTCAGCTGTAAACTTAGTACTTTGAGCAGATTTTAAGATTCTGGTTTTTATCTGTTTTGCTGTTTTGGTAACAGTCTCCCTGCGTATCAGAAGCCTGACAGAGTCCCCATTGTCTGTTTTAAGAATACCTCGAGAAAAATAAGGAGAGACAAATCTAGCATTCCAGCAACGGCTGGGAAGTCAGTGTCCCTGGATTGGACCCTCCACTCCCCAAGCAGTTACAGTTTATTAGGTGTCTACAGGGATAGGTGGGGCTTGTAAAGGATTACAATTCATCAGAAGACTCAGACTCAAGAGGGCGAAAATAATCTTATGCTTAGAAGTATCCTGACCTGGAGTATAATCCTGAGATGACTCAAGAAGGCATAGATGATCTTATGCTTAGAAGAGTGGATGGGAAGTCTCAGATGTGTGGTACCAGTAACCCCAATCCTTCCTGTTACCCCATAGGGAAATATGCAAAATTAGCCATTATGAATTAGTGTTTCCCAACACCTATGTAATTCTGTCTCAAAATCAGTTTTCCTATTTTCCAGTTTTTTTAGGGATCCAAAGTGCTGGGGTTGCAGGCTTATACCACCATGCCTGGTGCCTTTTAGAACTTGTTTTCTATGTGGTGGGGATGGTGGTGGACACAAGGTCTCACCATGTAGTCCAGGCTGGCCTCAAATTCCCAGTAGTCCTGCTACTTTAGCCTCCCAAGTGCTGAGATTACAAGCGAGCACCACACCCATCAAGAAGTTCATATTTAGCCGGGCATGGTGCCACACACATGCACTCCTAGCATGTAAGTAGGAGGAACCTCACAAGTTTGAGGCCAGCCTGGGCTACATAGTGAGTTCAGTGCCAGCCTGAATCTACTTAACAAGAACCTTCTCAGAATAAAGAATAAAAAAGGGCAGGTGATGTAGTTCAGCATAAACACCCTGGGTCCAATCCCCAGCAGTGACTGCAAAAAGAGAAGGAAAGGAAAAGCCCACTCTCGGGAATGGTGGAGACGGTTTGTGTTCCACTGTGCTCGGTGCAGTTAAGGGCCCAGCTAGCACCCAAAGCCTCTGGCCTGTGCAACGCACTCCATGACGCCCCAGGAACAAATGAAGGCTGGGAGTTACCCTAAGCAAGGGATTTCAGGGATGAATAAGGGAAACTGAGCCGCTGTGAGGGCCCAGAGCCATGCTAGGCAATCAGTGGGAAGAATCCAAAGACCTGACTGAGAAGTTTAGCGCCAGTATTTACTGTCGAGGTTAGATTCTTATTAGGTAAATGGTGATGACCCAGTAAAGAACACAGCCAGCCTGAGTTTGAGGGTTCTGGGCGACCTCCTGGAGTGACTCCAAAGGAGAATGGAGTTGAGTATTGAGTGGAGTCATTTATGGGTAAGACTGGGGGGTAGTGGGACGCATATAGGTGATGCAGGGGGGCGAGAGACTGCGGGAGCGAGCAGAGCTGAGGGCTACCGGGGACAGACCCTATGACTGAGGGTGGAACACAGCACCTTGTCCTAGCAGAGTAGGCTTAGTTCCCTGGGCTCAGGTGGCAGCTGCAGGATGGAAGACTGGCTGTGACTGTTGTTGGAGCTCAAGAGCTCAGGGGCTGGGGAAGGGTGAACAACAGACTTATCAATGATGCTACAATTACTTCTGTTTGGTTATAGAGCACTGCATTTGCGGGGGGCAAGGTCTCACTGTGGAGTTCAGGGTGGCCTTGAATTCACTTATGTACCCCAGGCCAGCCTTGAATTTATGAGATCCTCCTGCCTCTGTCTCCCAAGTGCTGGGATTTTAGGCATGAGCTGTTATATCCAGTTAAAGAGTATTTTTTTCTATTTAAGACACATCTCACTATACAGTTCAGGCTGGTCTTGAGTTTACTTTGTAGCTGGTCTCAGACTCAAAATAATCCTCTTGCCTCTGTCTCCCCAGTACTGGGATTACAGGTGTGTGCCACCAAGCCCAGTGAACATTGTATTTATTTTTTTTCGTTTTTTTTTTTTTTTTTTTTTTTTAGTACTTTCCAGGCAGACGCTTATGCCACTGAGCTAAATCCCCAGCAAACATTGTATTTCTAAATTTTATTTTCTTATTTTTGAAGACCTCATGCATGCTAGGCAAGTGCTCTATCACTGAACTACATCCCCAGCCGTGGACTGAGACGGACATAGAGATGAGAAGATACAGATATTTTTTTTCCTTCTTGGTACTTGAGATCGAACTCAGGGTCTTGGCACTGAGCTGCATTGAAGTTCTTTTCATTTTTATTTTGAAGTGGGGTCTCATTAGGAGCTAAATTGCCCAACCTGGATTTGAACTTTCAGTCCTCCCGTCTCAGCCTCCTGCATGCTAGGATTATAAGCATGCATGCTCATCCCCCACATTTTTACAAAATTATTTTTTGGGGGATAGGATTCTGTGCTCTGTAGTTCAGGGTGGGCTTGAACTCACTATGTTGCCCAGGCTGCTCTCAAACTCAAACTCCTGGTGATCCTCCCACAGCAACCTTGAGTGCTGGGATTACAGGCTCACACCACCGCACTTGATTCGAATTCTTCTCCTGTAAGGACACTAGCGTGACTGGGTTTGGGCTCCCTCTAACGACTTCATTTCAATTTAACCCACTCTGAAAGTCTTTCCAAATACTGCCTTCTGAGGTACTGAAGATCAGGGCTTCCACACATGACTCTGTGGGGACTTGGTACATGATGAATACTTCATGGCTTTGAGGTGAGAAATTAGGAAAGGAGGCTCAGGCTCCTTCTGTTCTTGGGCAGAAGGGCCCTCGGAAGGCTCCAGCATTTGTGAAATGCTGCAAAAGTGCTCATTTTATTTTATTACTTTCTAAGTTTTATTTTGCTGTGCTGGGGATTTGAAGCCAGGTCTTCCTGCATATCAGGTGCTGTACCCTTGAACTCAGCCCCAGCCCCACCCCCAGCCTCACCTATAAATGAATGAATGCAGGACCTGAGTTTGACATCAGAGGGATAGGTGACAGCCCCTGGGGAATGTTACCAACTCACATGACCTAAACAAGCAAGCAAGACATCTGTCCTGTGGATGCCAGGTGGAAAACCCTGTGCTGTAAGCTGCTCCTCACAGGTGGATCACAGGCATCCTGCACAGTGACTTCTGGGGCACGTCGCAGAAAATATCATTCCAGCCCCATCTGCCCGTGGTGGGCCGGAAGGCAACCACCACGCAGCGCTCAGTGGGCTGGTTGGGCTCACCCTCATGCCAGAACCTGCAAGTCACAGAAAGGAGCAGAACAGTGCTTTAAGTCCTGTTTGGAAAAGGTCAGGGTCCCGGTGTGCAAACTGCAGATTTCTGTCCTGCAGCTGCGTCCCCATCCTCCCCTCTGTTCCTTTCTTTGAAGGAGGCCTCTCTCCACTGGGCAGCACCCTGCTGGGCACTGCTTCTTGAGGGGCTCCTGGCTTCTACTTACAACCTTTAGGTTTCAGCAAGTAATTTAATTTCCCTGATTCTCAGTTTTCCAATCATAAAAACTGGAGACAACAGTGATATCCCTGGATATTTCATCTAGTTGATGTGAATGCCAGAGGCAGTGGCGTATACTAAACTATTTTAAAGTCTGTTTTCTCCTTTCCTTGATTTATTCATTCATTCATTTATTTTGAGAGAGTCTCACTACAGAGAGCTGATCTAACACTCACTAGGCAGCCCAGGCTGGCCTGGAATTACCAGTGATCCTGCTGCCTCAGCCTCCTGAGCCCTGGGATTACAGGCGTGTGCTACCATGTCAAGCTCTTTTTTACTTTTTGAAACAAAATCTCATTATGTAGTCCAGTCTAGACTTAAACAGGCCGTGCTGATCATGTACATATGTTGGCCATGAATTTACAACACGCCTGCCTCAGCCTCGCTAGTGTTGGGATTAGTGGCATGCCCAGCTTTTAATTTTTATTTATTTATTTATTTATTTTTGGCACCAGGAATCAAACTTAGGACCATGTGCTTGCCAGGCAAGTGCTGTGCTGCTGAGCTAAATCCCCAGCCCTGTTCTTCTTTTTTTTTTTTTCTTTCTTTTTTTTTTTTCTTTTGAGACAGGGTCTTGATATGTAGTTCAGGCTGGTGCTGAACTCACTGTATAGCCCAAACTGGCCTCAAACTCATAGCAATCCTCCTACCTCAGCCTCCCCAGGGCTGGGATTGATGGTGTGTACCCATTCCCAGCTTTTAGTTTTTAAGAACTACAGAAATAAGAATCACTATAGAGCTAGGCTCAGTCATGCCCACCTGTAATCCCAGCACTCAGGAGGCTGAGGCAGGACTGCCATGAATTTGAGGCCAGCTTGAACTACATAGTGAGACTCTCAAAAAACTAAAAACAACCAGAAACAACAACAAACCAGAACTGCCTTAGCCCAGAGGTCTGAGACCAGCATGAGCAACATAGTGATGCCCCATTTCTGGGGTGTGTGTGTGTGTGTGTGTGAGAGAGAGAGAGAGAGAGAGAGAGAGATAGGGGATTGAACCCAGGACTCCTGCCACTGAGCTACATCCCCAGCTCCTTTTGAATTTTTAATTTTGAGACAGTCTCACTAAGGTGAAAACTTTTTAGGACGAGCTCCAATTTGCAATCCTCATTAGCTTCCCACAGTGCTGGGATTGCAGGCGTGCACCAATACTCCAGGCCAGCATGTGTCTCTGGAACTAAAGGGAAAAAAAAGGCCAGGCAAGGCAGCACACGCCTGTACTCTCAGTCCCAGAGACTCTGGCAGGATTGTAAATTCAAGGTCAGTCTGAGTAAAGTAGCAAGACTCCCAAACATAAATAATTTACTCCTCTTAAGGAAATATCAAATTTAATTGGTTTTTCTCTGAGATAGTCTTTGTTAGTTTAGAGACACATGTGTAGTTAAAGCACAGACTTTAGGCTGGGCATGGCGGCACATGTCTGTAATCCTAGCACTCAGGAGGCTGAGGCAAGAGGATCTCTGCATGTTCCAGGTCAGCCTGGGGGCTACAGAGTGAGTTCAAGCCCAGCCTGCACTGCATAGAGAAACCCTGTCATGGTGTTCTTCCTGCCTCAGCCTCTCAAGTGCTGAAATTACAGACCTGTGTCACCACACACAGACCAGAGTTGGGTTTTTCAAAAAAAGAATTGTGGCATTTTGTATGCTTGCTTTCTGTCTTCCTACCTGGTGCACACAACACCCCAATGCCCTGCATGGCTGAGACCCAGGATCCCTTTATCTCACTACTCACGTGACGTTTGTGTATGGTGTCTGATCGACCCACTGCCAATGCCTGTGGCCCTCTGGATCCGACAGCCCCAGGTAATATGCAGAGCTATTATTCAGATTCTGGATGATGAAATCCTGAGCGAGAAAAGGAGAGAATCCAATCAGTTTTCAGGGTTTGAGGCGACATGAGTCTGCCTAGTGTTGTCAGGGGCAAAAAGCAAAGACTGCGCAGGCGTGCAGGCCTCCTCTGCCAGCAGGACGGGAGCCAGTTCCAGTGGTGGTCACTGTGAGTCTGTGGGACACTTTCCTTGGTCACTACTAAATACCAGGTGAGGGGAAAATATAGTGAATGACTGATGTTTTAAAAAATGTATTCCCGCTGAGTATTTAGCTCAGCGGCATAAGCACCTGCCTTGCAAGCCCAAGGTCATGAGTTCCATCCCCTTAACAAAAAAAAAAAAAAAAAAAAAAAAAAAAATTTGTATTCCAGTAAGTACTACCTTGCCATTAATCCCCTTCAAAATCCTTCTCACTTCACCTGGGTGTGGTGGTGAACACCTGTAATCCCAGCACTCAGGAGGCTGAGGCAGGAGGATCTAGATTTTTTTTTTTTTTTTTTTAAGATAAGGTCTCACTATGCAGTTCAGGCTAGCCTTGAGCTCACTTTGCAGCCCAGACTTGTCTTGAACTTGCAACGCTCCTCCTGTCACAGCCTCTAGAGTGCTGGCATTACAGGTGTGCAGCACACCAGGCTTGCGTGAGTTTAGTTTAAAGAGCCCCAGCACCCAATATGTTTTCTCTTAAACATTGAGGCCAAAAAATTTGAGGCCAACAAAACAGAATTTTTCTGCTTCTGCTGGCCACTGAGTCCACCCTGACCTCTCAGTACCTGCTCCTCCTGGGTGCGGATCACAGCCAGGTCAGCCTGTAGTGCGATGCAGGATTCCCGGCTCTTCTCCCAAGATTGCGATGTTGAGGCAATAAAGTAACAGCTGGACTCAAACAGCTTCCAGGGCGTGGGGCAGCAGCTCCAAGTCTCTAGAACAGACACAGAGGGAAACAGAAATCTTTGGTGGAAAGTTAAGTCCCTGCTACTCAAAAGGAGGCTGAGGCAAGAATATCACAAATTCAAGGCCAGCAAGGGTAAATTAGTGAGACCCTGACCCTACTGCAAAAATACAACCTAACAGGATTGTGGGTTCCCTGGGTTAAAAAAAAAAAAGGTTTTAAGTTTCACTAGAGGTCAGTTAGGTTCTATAAGTGATCTGCACTTCTTCGAAACTGAATTAACTCTCTGACATGTTTCCCAATCCTTAGGCTATTTCATTCTGAACAGGGACTGGCCGATGACCTCAAGGCAGGATATTTGATGTAGGTTTTGGGGCCATGCAGCTGATAGCACAGCTTTACCACCTGCTTCCTGCAGGAGGAAAGCCATTGCCCACAATGCGGGAACAGGCGAACACAGCTGTGTCCCAAACCAAACCAGTGACACAGGCAGAAATCTCTTGTATCACTGGGCCTTCACTTTCCAACTCCAGCTTCTGACCCACAAAAATGGTCTTCTGGACAGGTACTTGAAGCTGCTACCATCTTCTGTCACCATCCGTGAACAATCCCTCACCACATCTTTGGTGAAAAATAACCTTAACCATTTGTTATTATTTTTATGAGCTCGATCCCTGGTACCAAAACAAACAAACAAACAAAACCTGATTACTTGCTATTAAATAAAATTCACAAGAAGATGGAGCTCAGGAAGCTGGACAGATTACTGGGTATTTAAACACAGGGGGTCATTTAGACATGCTCTCCAATGCAGGTGTTGGAGCTCTGCCTAGCATGGTAGCACCTGGCCACTTACCTATGTCCCCAACACCACCACTGTATTTTATTTTGAGACAGAGTGTCTTTAAATTGCCCAGACTGGTCTTGAACTTGAAATCCTCTTGCCTCAGTCTTCCAAGTGACTGGGATGACAGGTGTGCGCCATTGCATTGGGCTCTACATGTTCTTTTTTTTTTTTTTTTTTTGGTCTTTTTCATTTTCATTTTGTCGGTACCAGGGATCGAACTCATGACCGCCTGCTTGCAAAGCAGGTGCTTATGCCGCTGAGCTAAACCTCCAGCCCCCTGGACATGTTCTTGAAGCTACAGGAAAAGACTGAAAGAATTCTCAGCCCTGAATTGAGACTGGTGTAGCCACTGTGGAATCAGTATGGAGAGTCCTGAAAATACTGGTACTAGAGGTCCCATCAGACCCAGCTATTCCCCTTCTGTGTATCTTCTCAAAAGAATTTAAAACATCATACCACATGATATATGTACACCCATGTTTACAGCAGCTCTTGTAAAAGCTAGCTCTTGGAGACAACCTAAGTGCCCAGCATTTTCTTAGTCTCTCTTCCTGTAGCTTCAGGAACATGTCCACCCCAGTGCAATGGCACACACCTAAACAAAACTAGTTAAAATAATTATACTACTGATTTCTCTGAGGTCACTGGAGAGAAGATTTGTGCCGATATTGTTCAGTCAATGTAGATGTCTTGCGTTCTGGGTGAATGATTTGGGGATGATGACAATGTGCAATGTATGTAGTGTACCATTGTTGCCCCTGAATGACATGTTTTGAAATTTTGGCATTGGGTTTTTTCTTTTTTTTTTCCTTCCTGAAATAAAATGGATTTGAGAAAAAGGGAAAAAAAAATTCCCACTCCTCTTGTGGCCCTGGAGTGATTGTAGTGTTAGACTGGAATTGAAATTCAGGTTGGCAGGACACATCCAGGCTTCCCTAGATGAGCTCACAAGTGGGCCATGCCAGGGCTGCCTGCCCTGGAGACCCGTGAAGAGGCAAGTTCAGGATGGAGGCACCTCATCAGCTAGATGGAAGCGGTCCAGACAACGCCAGCACCTCCAGTTGTCTCATCCCACAGTGAGAGGTGCTGGGCACACAGAGGAATTCTACATAGAGAAAGGAAGAAAACTGTCTTGCGCAGAAAGCAAGGAAAATCCAAAAGGCTTCAGGCTACCTCCACATGCCGCAGAAGCAATTTCAGGCGGTTCACATAACATCCGTGTTGTTTGAAAGGAGTGGAATAACATAAACTAGGAAGGAAGTCTGTCATTAAAAAACCAAACAACACACCTAGTTTCTTAGCCTGCCATGGTGGTACACGGCTGTAATTCTAGAAATCTGGGAGGCCCAGGCAGGAGGACGGCAAGTTTTAGTCTAACTTGGACAATTTGGCAAATTAGCAAGACCCTGTTTTTAAAAAAATATCTAAAAAGGGCCGGGGCTTTAGTGTGAAGGGCTTGGGTTGCATCCTAAGTGCCACAAAGAAAACTGGTGTCTTAAGCCTGGAAAATTCCAAAGTTGAGGAAACTTCCCAGAAGAGCCTCCATTTGTCAGCAGGGTGACATGTGGTCTTGGGAGGAGGTTGCTGAGGGGACACAGATGCAAAGAAACATACCACCCCCACAGTGCTCTGGCGCCCTCGGAACTGGGATGGGTGGAGAGGAGAATGAGGTAAGCAGGGAGCAGCTGACCCTGGAGATGGACCCCACTGGTAGGGCTAGGTCAAGGGCAACCCTGGGAGCCCAGAGGGCCCAGAGCGAGTCAGGTAAACAAGCGGGTCTGGCTCTGAGAAGGCGGGGTGCCCAGGGAGCCAGACAGGCAAGGTGCCAGGCAGATGGGCTGAGAGTGTCCTCATCCCCCTGAGTGTATAAATATACATGCTACAGGGGTTGGGCAGCTCCTTTTCTCCCAGCAGCAAGGGCTCCCCCTGACCCTAGCTTTGTCCCTTTTCTTTATTTTCCCGTCCTCTCGCTGTCCTTCTCCCCTGACCCAGAAAGTTTGCGAGCTGTAATGGCAAGCAGCACTTGGAGACCACTCTGGTCCAAGGCTGCTGCCCTGCTCAGGTGGGCAGGAAAAGATAGGCAGGCCAGGGGCAGCGTATATATCTCAGTGGCATAAGTGTCTGCCTGGCAAATGCAAGGTCATGATTTTGATTCCAGGTACAAAAACAAAAACAAAAAAGGAATGGACAGGTCTGGTGGTTTGTGCCCATTCGAGGCAGGAAGATTGCAAGTTCAAGCCCAGTCTGGGCAATTTAGCAACTTAAATTGAGCCTGTCTCAAAATATAAATATACACACGGCTGGGGATGTAGCTCAGTATGGAGGCCCTGGGTTCACTCCTCTGTACTAAAAAAATGTGCTAGGTGAGAAAACAAGTTTGTAGCCAGGCACAGTGGCACACACCTGTAATCCCAACACAGGAGGCTGAGGCAGGAGGATCACTGTGAGTTTGACAGTAGCCTGGGCTACATGTGAGTTAAAGGCCAGCCTGACCTACAGATTGAGACCCTGTCTCAAAAAACAAAAATATTGGCAGACTTAGAGACACAGATGATAAAAAAATGAAAAAACTCCAGATAACATGACTATATTAAAATTTCTATCATTGAAGTTTGATTTCTCTGTGTCACGGGAGATGAATTTAGAGTTTCTCAGTATGCTTCTTTCTCCCGCAAAAAGTATGTATTGAACAGGGCAGGGTGGTGCATGCCTATAATCCCAGAACTCTGGGAGGCTGAGGCAGGAGGATCAAAAATTCACACCCAGCCCAGACAATTTATCGACTAGAACTGAACCATCCTAAACTGAAAAGAAAGGAAGGGCAGCTGGACACGCAGCTCAGTGCAAAGGCTCTAGGTTCCACCTTCTTTGGGACCACAAAAAGAAGGAAAGGAAAACGCACAGTGATAGTTATGTGACCAGAAGACCAAGGTTTCTTACTCGGAGGGTGAGTAGGTGGAGTAGTCTCCAGGTAAGGACAGCCTTTGCCAGCTGGGGTATGTTGTAACCATGTTTAATGCAAATGCGAAAGAAGAACAGAAAATAGAGCAAACCATTTTCTCTTCTAATTGCCACAACTGAGCCGCTGCCTGCTGTGGGGGAACTGGGCAGGACCTCGCAGGTCACCTGCACAGCCCCTGCTCCTCCTTTGGCGACTTCCTCTTCCCTCCTTCCCCAGTGCTGGACCTCAAACTGGGGTCTTGCGGTGCCCGGCAGGCACTCTACCCGGAGCTGCTCTCCAACGCTCTAATCCTTGAATGGCAAGTCTGCTGGGAGTTTAAGGCCAGCCTGGGCTACACAGTGAGACTCTATCTCAAACCAAAAAAACCGAAAATAGCAAGTCTGACATCCTTTAGGGTCGCTTTTGTCTCTGCACACAGCTCACCAGTTATCCCCTAGGAGAGGACCGGTCCCAGTCCAGTCCTGGGGATGGAACCCTACAGCATGCTAGGCAAGCACTGTACCAGTGCCAGCCTCCTGAGCCCTGCTCCACAGCAAAGCTGTTTCTTTTACTTCATTTTGTTTTGCTTTATGAGATGTGGCCTGGGCTGGCCTCCTGATTTTAAGGTATTTTTCTGCCTCAGCCTCTGGAGTGACTGGCACTACAGATGCATGCCACCAAGCCGGCACTACTTTGCTGTCATCTGAATCCTGTGTGTTGTCTCTTGGTGACTGCAGAAGCCCCAGGCAAGGGATGCTATTGGCTGCACACCTGGGAAGGCTGCAAGGCCGAGGCTGGGGTCAGAAACAGCCGTGAAGAGCGATGCTCACTTACGCCTACAGGACCAGCAGGAGGAGTCGAGATTTCTGAGGTCAAAACTAGCACTGCCTCCAACACTTTCATTCTAAAACTGGCACGTAGGACAGTTGACAAGAGCCTCAGAGACACTAGCCTGGGACTTGAAAGTTTCAGCACCAAAAATATGAACCATCTGGCCAGGAACCGAATCAGGAGCCAAAGAAGTCTCATTGCTTCTTACCTGCAAACTGACCTTCTGCCTCCCTCCTGCAGGCCACACTTAGGAATCTCTGATGGCTCTGTAACTTGGAGAGCCTCTTGCCAATGTTGCTGTATACAGAATTATTCTTATTCACTGGGAAAGGAAAGAAAAGTCAAGAATTAGTTTGGTTTTTGGTTATTCATTTATTCATTTTTGTACCGAGGATTCACCCAGGGACTTTACAGTAAACTACACCCCCATCCCTTTTCTGATTTGATTTGTGATGAGGCTGGCTAAGTCACTAAATTGCCCAGGCTGGGCTCAAACTTGTGATTCTCCTGCCTCAGCCTTCCAGAATACTGGGATCACATTTAAGGTGTGCACCATCACTGCTGCAGCAGGAAGGCGTAGAGGTGGCGTCCTGAGGGTGCCATCGTTACCCTCCAAGAGGGGACCAAGGGCGGTAGGTGTAGTTAAGAAGTAGAGCACTCACCTAGCGTACACAGAAAACAAGAGAAGCAACAGGCAGCAGAGAGTGTGTCCTCTCTTCCTGCCACAGGAGGATGTGGTGAGGTGCTCAAGGCTGCAAGCCAGAAAAAGGTCCCCCAGCAGACCCTGGCACACCGGTGTCCTGATCCCAAAATTCCAGGCCCTGGAGTTGCAAGGACCGTCTGGGACTGTATTCAGTGGCTTAAACTGACCGAAACTATGTTGACCACTTCTGGCAAGGGCAGTCAGGGCCATGCACAGCAAGCTTGCAAGTGCACACAGCTCTCCATAGTCACTATGAGCGATGGTGCGTTTCTCCAAAAGCCTGACATCTCAGTTAGGGGCGCATGTGTGTCCAGAAAGGGAACTCACATTTCCAAGAAATCCCTAAAAGGTCACTGGGAAGAGGATCCAGAGTTGCCACACAGAGGCAGAGAACTCACCCAATGTGCTCAGGATGAAACAGATGCAGAGCAAGGAGATGGACATCACAGCAGGAAACCAGACCTTCAGCTGATGCCACTGCAGGGTTCTCTCTGTCATTCACAAGACACAGGTTCAGTTACATCCTCACTTCAAACGTGCTTATCCCACGGCTCCTGATGTTTCCTAAAGTAGTTCTGGAAGTCCTCTTTCATGAGGGTCTTCAGTTGTCCTGCTGTAGCTGAATCCATTCAAACTGTTTCCCTTTCCTGGTCATTTTAACTTTGGAGAAGAGCCAGACATCACACAGTGCTAGCTCTGCTGAATAAGGTGGAAGAAGATACACTGCATGTTTATGTTTTTTTTTTTATATTTTGTTTTTTGGGGGTTTTGTTTGTTTGTTTTTGAGAAAAGTTCTCACCATGAGGTTCAGGCTGGCCTCATGTTCACAGTGATCCTCCTGCCTCAGCTTCCCGAAACTGGCATTAAAGGCATGGGCCACCTGCCGGCCGCACTGTGATGTTTTCACAAGCCTGCCTTTCTGATGGGTGGCGATCAGCAGCACCCATCGTATTTTTGGTCATACATCATGGAGACGCTCATGAAAGAGGACTTCCAGAGCTGCCTCAGCAAACAGCAAGATGATGGCTATGTGTGCTCTAGGCGAGGGGAGGACTCTGAAGGAGAGTAGTGGTGATATGTTTTTTACTATAGTAATGTTTTAACATTTAAACATTCACCATGTATTTTGATTATACCTCTTAGAATCGGCACTGCTGAGAAGGGGAAACCACAGCACCCAGGACCTTATGGCCATAAAGTCTAGCTACAAACCAAGCCCGTTAAGGAACAAATGGGAATGTAACTGGAGATCACACACATTCCCTTAGAATAGCCAGGCATGGTAGCATCTACCTGGAATCCCTGCACTCTGAGGGGCTGAGGGAGGAGGATCCCAAATTCAAACTCAACTGTTATAATTTAGTAATTTAGTGAGATCCTGCCTCAAAACAAAACAGGGCTGGAAGCTGAGTGTGGTGGCTCATGCCTATAATCCTAGCATTTGGGAAACTGAGGTAGGAGGATCTCCATGGGTCTGAGGCCAGACTGAGATACATAGTACATTCAAGGCCAGAGTGAGTTGGAGGCCAGCCTAGACACATAGGGAGATCCTGTCTCAGAACAAGCAAACAAAAAGGCAGAACTTCTCAGGACAAATGACCAGAGAGTAAACTGGAACTGATGACACATACAGGCAAAACCAAGTAAAGGGCACTTTCTGATTTCTTACTCTCTTACACCCAAGTTTCACATTCTTTCCACAGTTTTCTCCCTTTTTCCAATGTCATTTTGTCCTTAATTCTTTAATTTCTCACTTTTCATTCATTTTATTTATTTGGGAACTAAGGATGGTGCCTTTGCCCTAGGACCTTCACACTGAGCTACACCCACAATATTGTTTTGTTGTTTGTTTTGTTTTTTGTTTTTTACTTTTCTCTCTTGAAACAGTCTCTCTTCCTAGTACAGGCTGGCCTTACTCTCACTAGGTAGCTCAGGCTGGTCTCAGTTCACGGTGATGCTCCCGCCTTAGCCTCCCAGGTGCTGGAGGTGACATCACCTGCCCCCACTCACGGTAATTTCCCTGCTCTTTCACAGAAGCTCCAGGTCCTCCCACCTGTGTGTCCACCGATGCACAGCACTCACCTGTCCCCTGCAGTGGTCCTCTGGGCACCATCGCGTCCCTCTCCTGGAGCCGTTTCCCCAGCAGGCCGGGAAGTGAGGACCCTGTGAGCAGCCTGCGTGCAGCTTCTACTGGAGTCTGTGAGATTGGACACACAAAGTGGATTTTCATGTCCTGAGGACATCAGTTCATAGGGTTTGCATGCCTGTCACCTCCCTAACGAGTCCTTTTCTTTTTGCTGTGTTTTGTCTGTCATGTCATCCTTGGTGCTTGGTGCAGTGTGCTGCTCTTGTCCCAGCTGGGCCAGAGGCCGATGCAAGAGGATCAACTCTGCTGCCCTTGAGTTTGAGGCCAGCCTGTGCAGCACAGCAAGACCCACCCTAAGATGGATCATGGATGTGTTAACATTTGTCAGAAGAACTTGGATCATCTCATCTTGGAAGGTGAGTAAGGCTGTCTAGCTTTAGGGACAGTGGTGATGGACACTTGAGGCATGGACAGTGGAGAGGAGCTGCCTGGCCAGTGTGCCTGGGGCAGTGATATCCACTGATTCTGGCTGGGACACAAGGTCTCCAGACATTATCTGGGGTGGAGAGAGCCCCAGCCCAACCCTGCAGTCAGACATGTTCTGGATCAAGGAGGAACCCAGTGCTGAACTCAACACAGAAGTCAATAGCCTAGGTATTCTGCAGACCTGTGCAGCTGAGAGTCACTGGCTGGTGAGGGAATAATAAGGGGAAAGAATTTGCTTTTTTGTTTGTGTTTATCTGGCTGTGCAGTCCAGGCTAGACTTGAGCTGGCCTGGAGCTCAAAACCCTCCTGTCTCAGCCTCCCAAATTCTAGAACTATATACATGTGCCACTTCAGCTGGACAGAAAGAAGAGTTTTGAGTGAGGAGGCTTGAGAAGTTTTAGGAGCAAAGCAGGAAGAAAAGAGCTCTTGCTAAGCAGCACATAAGGAAAGCACTTCACTCCTGAGGATCAGCAGTCTAGGACGTGGCGTCGGGTCCCCCCTTCTCCTTCCTGAGCCCCGCTAGGATGTAGGCCCTGAGGGTCTTCTTGTAATATGGGGCTGAGCAAGGAGCAGAGACCAAGTGAGAATAACACTCTGAAATCAGCAAATCTTTAAAGTAGAGAGAATGGCAGATCCTTTCCAATGCAAGCAGAGTTACTTGCAAGCCCGGCTCGAGTGGAGTTTCCAGCCAAGGCTGAGTGTTACCAGGAAGGCAGGCGACGCAGCAGAGCAGCAGAGAGAAGATGATCAGGCAGGCAGGCGGGTCAGCAGCATCTGTGGCTGTCAGGGAAAGAGAACTGCTGCTTGGAGCCCCAGACAAGAGCAGCTGGCAGGCAGGGAGGAGCCAGGGAGGGTCACATGAGGCAGTAACAGAGAACTGGCTGGTTGCTAAATTGCCCAAGCTGGACTCGATCTTGCAATATTCCTGCCTCAGCCTTCCAGAGAATTTAGAGTACAGGTGTGCACTACCACACCCAGTCAGAGATAAACAATAGTAAATCTTTACAGAACACAGGACAGCAGGCATGGTGGTGTGAGCCTGTGATTCCAGCTACTTAGGAGGTTGAGACAAGATGATTGCAAACTCAAGGCTAGCAGAGCATCTTAGCAAAATCCTGGACAAAAACATTTTAAAATGTGGAGCACACTGATAATCTCAATACTGAGGAGAATGCAGTGAGTTTGAGGCCAACCTGGGCTATGCAGCAAGGACCTCTCTTAACAGGAGGCTGAGGCAGGAGGATCCTTGCAAGTTGGAGACCAGCTGGGCTACAAAGTGAGCTCAAGGCCCGCCTGAACTCATAGTGAGACCCTGTTTCAAAAAGCACACATACACACACAAAATAAAATAAAAATAAAGAGCCTATCTCGAAACAAAACCCAAAATGAAAACACAGACCATGAGTGTCTGTGGCCTGGAGTAACAAGAGAGTAAGAGGCGATCAGAGGCCAGGAGGGTGGCTCAGGGCAGGAATCTCGCCCACAGGCACAAGGTCCCAGGTTCAGTCCCCAGTGCTGCACAACTGCTGTCCACCTTTGGTGACTTTTACCTGACAACCACTTACCACTTCTGACAGGCAGCAGTGAGCCTGGCTGACAGTGCTGAGGGTCAGCAGTTTGGACCAGGCTCCCTGGTACTTCTGCCTCCCCTGGGATCGCTCCACTGCAGCGGTGCCCACATGTCCACAGTGCACTGACAGGAAGTGGTTCTCATGGACCTGGGGCAGAAGGGGGCCCAGCCTTGGGCTGCCTTCCCCCGGGAGTGAGCCTGGTGCTGGCAGGAGGTGCTGGCAGGAGGAGCCCAGTGCTCCCAGGGGGGATGAGCTCGGTCTGCACCTCTGTCTTCCTTCAGTCACAGAGCTGCCGTGTTTTATCGGTGCGCATCCCCCCGCATCACGCTCATCACAGGGAGCTCGTGCCTGTACCGGTATGTCTTCATTCTCCTGCTTCCCATTCCTCGCCCCTCCCTTTTCCCTTCCTCCCCTCCCCCAGTGTCCTTCCCACGTGAACACGTTCTTCCTGCTCACAATATCTGTCCTCCGTTATGCTCCTTCTTTACTCTCAGCTTCTCACACAAGAAAAGCAATGCTGCATTTAAACTTGTGTGACTAACTTATTTCTCTAAGATTATGGTCATGGCCATGGGGAGTGGGAAGAGCCGAACCATGGTTCCCCAGCTGAGAGACCAGAAGAGCAGCAGCTCCCGCCCCCCAAGCAGGGTGCTGATTCGGAGGAGCTCAGGGCACCGTGGCAGCAGCTGAGTGGAAGGAGTAGCACCTGTACTGTTTGGTTGACTTTGCAGGCCAGGGCTGGAGGTCTGGGCATCTGTTTGGAGGATGGCAGTGCGCATTGTGGCAGCTGGGGAGCATTTCCTCCTGTCTTATTTTTGAAATGCAATGTTTTATTCCTGTATCTGGTAACCTGAGCAACTATTTTGAAGATAACAATATGCAATATGACAACCATTGCTAAATTCCTATCATCTTGAAGACCTATGTAGCTATTTGTTGCTATTGTCATTTTGCTTTTGTTGTTGTTTTTAAGGTTTGTTTGCTTCTTGATTTTTCTGTTATTTCTTTTTTCTCTTTAAAAAACTTTTTTTAGAAAGACTGCAGTCATGGCACACATCCATTTACTAAATTCTCAGGTTTATCCTTCAGTGTAGCAGACTGCTGCTCCACTGTATGTAAACAGCACCTTTTCTTTACCCATTCATCTACTGTTAAGCATGTGGGCTGACCCCAAGGTTTAGCTATCACAAACTGTGTTACTATAAACACGGGTGTGCATGTACCACCACAGCAGGGAGCTTTTAATTCTTTTGGGAAGACACCTAGAAGGAAAGTAGGTGGGTAGATGGAACTTCTAGTTGTAGCTTTTTGAGGAATCTGCACACTGATTTCCACAGTAGTTGCTCCAGTCCACACTCCTATTAGCAGTGTGGAGAAGGGTCCCTTTTTCTCCACAGCCCCTCAAGCGTTTGTTATTGGTTGATTTCTTAATCATAGTCATTGTTCCCAGAGTGAGGTGGAATCTCAGCAGCGTTGTTTCAATTTGCGTTTCTCAAATGACCCGTGATGTTGACCATTTTCATTTGAGAAATGTCTGTTCATTTCAGATGCCCACTTTTGGGTTGGGTCTTTACTCATTTATTCTTCTTGAGGCAGGGTCTCACTTGCAGTTCAGGTTTGCCTTGTAGCCCAGGCTGTTCTTGAACTTGCAATGATCTTCCTTGCCTCAGTCTCCCTTCTGCTGAGATCATAGGAGTGCACCACCACATCTGGTTTGGTTTGGTTTGGGTCTTTAAATTAAGGGCTTCCATGTTTATAGCAGCACAGTTTGTAACAGGCAGATCTTGGAAATAATCTAAATGTCCATCAACTGAGGAATGGATAAAAATGATGTGATATTTTTATATGATGGAGTACTACTCAACCATAAAGAATGATAAACTAGAGACTTTTATAGATAAATGGATGCAACTTGAGAGCACACTCATTAGTGAGATAAATAAAACACACATGTATAAACATTGTATTGTTTCATTAGTATGAGAAGCTGAAAGAAAAAACATGTATATGTGCATGTATATGTATAATAAAAAAATAGCTAAGATAGCTATGCTACTGATTTTTCTAAGTTGACTGAAGAGAAAGATTTGTGCTGGTATTGTTCAGACAATTGAATGTCTTGTGCTCTGGGTGAATGATTTGGGGATGACAATGCACAGTGTATGTATCATGGTTACCCCAATTGACAGGCTTTGAAATTTTGTTGTATTTGTTTCTTTTCTTTTTTCAAATTTTTATCCTTGGAATAAAATGGATTTGGAAAACAAATTAAATAAATAAATTGGAGGGTTTAACACTTTGAATTCTTTATATATTCTAGATGGCAGAGAGCAACCCACCCGCCTTCCTGGTAAGCAGCTATTGCGCAAGCAAGCTTGGGCCGAGCCAGGAAGAGAACAAGTCAGTGTCCCCCATGAGCCTGCATTGTCTGAGAATGAAACATCCCACTCGCCCCCCTCCTTTAGCAACTCGGAGCCAGAGGCCTGAGCAGCCCTTGAGAGGATGACCACATGCAATATAGCAAACACGGGGGATTTCCTTCTGTCTTCCCTTTGAAGGCAAATAGTTTTCACTGTTTTGCTTTGTTCTGATTAACTGTTTTGCTCTATTCTGTTTTGATAGGTTTTATAATGTTCTATTTTTGATTTGATTTTGCTGTACCTGACTGAATGGACAACTATTGTGAAGATAATGAGATATATTATGGTACCTATTACCGTTATCCTGGTAACCTGCTGTGAAGTTCTGTACCAATTTCAATGCATTGTTGCCATTGGCTCTGTTTTGTCTTGTTGTATTTTACTACCTTCAAAATAAAAATAAAAATAAAATAAAATAGATGTTAGTCCTTTCTGAGGAGTAACTGGTAAATTTTTTTCCCAGTCTGTGTGTTGTCTTTTCATTCTGTTGGTTGCTTCTTTTCCTTTCGTTTTTTGTTGTTGTTGTTGTTGTTTTTTGGATGTAACTTCTTTTGCCAAAAGCTTTTTAATTTGATGTGATTTCAGCTGTTGATTCTTTGTAGTAATTTTTATGCAAGTGAGGTTTTATTCATAAAGTCTTTGTCTACGCCTATGACTTCGAGTTTTACCTATTCTGTCTTCTAGCCAATTGTTTCTATTTTTTAGATTTTTGATCCATTTCACTTTCAAGACATTTGCATTACTGATGTTTCATTTTAGTAAATCATATGATTACACAGCACAAGCATTACTGATCATAATGTATGGATTTATAATTCAAACTAGAGGTTTTGCCATAAAAGTGTTTTTGTTTTGTTTTTGGTGCTTGACACTGAAACCA